AATCTGAACTGTGGGTAACAAAACACAGGGACTTTTGTGTAAAATATAAAAAACTATTCGTTTTAACTTAAAACAGGACCGCGGGTTGAATTCTCTGAATAGAGGGACTTTTCCAAAAAATGCCATGACGGACGAAAGAAACTCAATTTACTTTATTATTAGGTAAAGATTAGTATTAAACAAAAGTCTGACAAAACATACACCAAACAATTCGAAACTATAGCAGTAAAAAAAAAAACAATTCAAAGCCATCATTCACAAATATAAACTTGATATATAATGGGGAATGTCATCACTCCTCACCATCTAGAACCAGGATCATCGTCGATCGGTCCGCACGATGTACCAGGAGCATGGTTTTTTTTAGCGGGTAACCCGATACGAAGGTTGACTCCAAATTATTTGGAGAACCGAGTCCGGGTGGTTGATATATGGAAGAATGTTTGGCCAGATAACTCGACGTACACTACAAGGTAATGAAAGGGACGAACACATACATCAAACTACTTTATATAAGATAAGAGACGTCATTGTCTCTTACGTGGCTGCGTGTTTAGCTAGCTTTCCTTTTTAAAGTTTTATCAAAAAGCAGCCTTGTTTCATACACGTATGCCTTGTTAAGGTGTTCAATGTTCTTCGCAAAACTTAACGTCTATATGCAAATAGAGCATGCATTTCTTGTGCTGCATCTTTTGAGTGGGAAAGTATCACTGCAAACATGTATTTTGGCGTTGACGTTCTTTTTGTCAATGACAAAGAGCTGTGAGCAAGGGTCTGTTTGGATCAAAGCCCAGGTTCCGTTTCCATGTCAATATCTTGGTCGAGTAGATCAGATTTTATGCTCATGCGCAGGTGAAACAAGGGCGGCCGATCCATATGCCAAATGGCCCCGGGATATTATCAACTTTGTGTCATGCAGGGCTAGCAATTGGAGATGTTTTCACTTATGTTTATAACTTTTTTCCATCTAAAAACTAAATAGATTAAAAAAATATCAAATACTCACTCGCACTCGCATAGAGCCTACAGAAGAAGATCGGAGTGACAAAGGCTTAAGCTTGACAAAGTCACCACATGCATCACACTATTGACAGAGACGTTGACATCTATTAAAATAATATTTCATCTTGTAAAACACACATGGTGTCAAACCATCACTGGAAATACAACCATCCTCCTCTGTTCCACTACATAGTCGGGATAGATTGAAGTTATATCCTCAGTCAAATGGAGCTGACATGGCTATATATTTCTCACATCACTTGACCAGCTCGCCGGTAATTGTTTCCACCAGCCTAGTCTGATGTTTTCATGTTGGCCCACCTACCACGGGTTAAGGTGTGTATAGATATCCTTATTCATATATCCTCCAAGCCCCTATTATATACATAATATACATACCTTATTTTCACCCTTCTCATATTGTCTCTTCCGCTGCTGCCGCATACTTTGATCTCAAACCTCTCACTCCGTAGTTTTTTCTGCAAGTAACATGCAGGATTCAAACAAGCTTAATTTGTTTTCATCAAGTTTGGATTGCTTAGCACGAGTCTCACGTGGTACCTCTCACTTCGTAGTTGCATTCTAAATCATAACCATCCTGTCAAAATGACACTCCTATCTTCCTGGATGCTAGTGTTAGTGACGTTTGCAAAACTAGGCGTTGTTGTAGCACATGTCACTCCATTTAGACCCATCACGGCTAGTATCATATCCTTAGCGCATGTCCTTGCATCACGTAGAACACATCAATGCCTTAAAGCAAACATACACATGATTAGAATTATTAAAATTTTACAAAGACCTTGGGCCTATCTCTTGCCCGACTATACATTCTAGGTAATTCTTTTCCTGGGTCATATTCCACATATAATAACGTATATAAGGTTGGGTTGCAACTTTATCATCGTGACCTTCCACCCTTTGCATAGTCCATGGATCTTACTCATCGAGGGGAAGAACCGTCTCAAACTATACAAATATTCAACAATTCAAGAGCTTTCTCCCGTGTGTTGTGAGGCCTTAATGAAATGCAGGAGATCGACTTCTAAAGAACTGCAAACAATTAATTGTAGCAGGGCGAATACACTCATGGCAAGCCTTCATAAAACAAAAATACTTGAAACTTAAGTCAGGTAAATATTTGCTTTCATTGTGTTTCTAGTATTTATTGCCTGTCACGACTGGCACAACTATCAGAATTGCAAACACTCTGGATCCATGTACTTTCTGCAAGACCAATGGAAGCGTACTCGAAGCCTCTCACAACATCCTCTTTCTACACTACACGATAAACGCAAACAATTAATGAAACCATGAGAACTTATGTATATAGCAGAGGTAGCTGGTGATTTCAAGGGGAAACAGCCTCGCTAGGCTTCCGGGTCGCTTCAGACCTCCTCCAATGCATTGGTGCTAAAATGAGGTACTAAGTGCACTAAAATGCTTAGCAACTAATGTCTCCAATGCATTGGTTCTTAGAGTATGGTTAATAGTATAGCCAGCTGCTGGCTATAAGCCAGTGCCATGTCATCTACAACCCATCTTATAGCCAACGTGTACAATAATACATCAAAAGAGTGTACTACTTTTTTATTATGTGGCCCACATTTCATTCTCATAAAGTGTCAGGAGCACGAGCTAGAGCTGGCTCTTCACGAAGAGCCCGCTTACCTTCTATCTCCTCTTCTCTTTCCCCCAACTAAGCAAAAATATACTAGTTTATTTCTTATAGCGCGCTGACTCAGCTTTATTGTACTTGCTCTTAGCTTTTGTAGGTAAACCATCTTTATTTAATTGTTTAGTGACAAAACTCCTTCATGTATTGGTTGGTAGTCCTTTTGCATAGGTCCACGTGCTTAGTATTGGTTCTTTTTGGGATCACTATAATGATCTTTCTTCTTTTTAATTGCTTTGCCACATCATTTTTCTGCCTATGTGGCACCCTTAGCACCTGTACACCGTGGACCACTGGGAAGGGCCTCAGGCGACCCCGGAGGCGCCGCCGCGGCCACCTTCGAAGGCCCTCCCTTGCAGCGCCGTTCACCATGCCGCCGCCGGAGGAGGCCGGCCGCCCGGCGGACGGTGGCAGCGGGGCATCTCCGACCTCTTTTTTTCTTCTGTTCTCCCCCTTGGTGGTCGTCTTCTGATCTGGCCGCTGGCTTCCTGATCTCTCCATGGCTTGCCTCCCGATCCAGCAGCTACTTCAATCCGATCTGGATGAAGTCCATGGCCTGGAGCGGGGCTGGTGCCTGGACGCATCCACACGGCTGCTTGAGAGTCACGTGGAATTGGATATGGGACCGCGACGCCCTCGCTGCGGATTAAGGTCACCATCAAAAGATTTTTTTTAGAGTTTTATCTCCATAGATCCGGTGGT